ACGTTTATTAAAAAAAAAAAGTAAAAAAAAANAAAAAAAAAAAAAAAAAAAGAAAAAACGCCTTGTCCTTACTTACGAATCGAAAAAAATGAAAAGGAGAAAGAAACGAATCCTCCCTTCTCGAATCTCCCCTCAATTTTTTCTTTTCTTTCTTTCGTCGCTGGAGGAATCGAACACCGCATAAGAGATATAAAAAACTAGTAGTGAAAATTACGCAGAAATCGTGCCGCCGCACGATCCGCTCGAATCGACGAACGAAATAAAAGTGAAAGCCTATTGTATTTCTATTGTATTGTATTCGTCCTACGGGACGACGACACACGCCGAATGGAAACAAGAACGCGCGCGTCCCGAAACGTATACAAAGTCGAAACGTTGAAATCGTTTATTAAGCGGGTTTAACCCTTCTCCCCCCCCTTCCCCCCTCCCTCACCTCACCCTCCTCGATGCGCGCATCTCACCACCCCCGAACGTGCGAAAAAGAAGAAAAAAGAAAAAAAAAAAAAAGAGAGGAAATTCTCCTGCTTTCGAAACGGAGCGGAGAAAAAAGAGAAGCGAAGAGAAAGAAAAAGAAAAGGAAAAAGAACGAGAATCGCCAATAAGAATCGAGAGATATACCGGAATAATTTTGCCATATGGTACACGCACGTCGTACCGGGGTCAAATGTCGCTCGAATAAAAACGTGAAGAATTAAAAAAAAAGAAAAAAAAAAAAAAAAGTAGTGACAAAACTTCCAACGACCTATCACATCCTCTTTCGTAATTGGAAACGAGCAATGGCTGCAAAATGTGCCTCGAACGTGTCGAAACTTTTTTTCTTTTATAAATTGTAATAAAAAAATTTACGCACAATTACAAAATTGCATGTAGTGTTCATTATTGTAATCGATTATTGATTACGTCTGCATAAAATTATAATATAAAAAGAAAAAAAAAAATAATATATATATATATATATATACATATACATTTATAAAAATCGATGCGTCGATCGCCACGCTACGTGTATATTTTTACGTATATGTATAGATATAAATGTATGCATATATATATATTCTTAAATATTATAAAATTATAAGCAATGTCATAATGCTGGCCGTATCGGCGATATCGCTGTATAGCGGCGTGTTTTCCGTTACCAACGTTAACGGGACGGGACAACACTGATATACGAAACTTAAAAAAAGAAAGAAAGAAGAAAAAAAAAAAAAAAACGACGAATCGGACAATATGTATACGAGCACGGCACGTAGATTAAAACGGCGGAGTAACGAGGGGATCAAAAATCGTCGATCAAGGAAAAAATAAAAACGACACGCTTGATTCGCGATTCAAGAAATTTGAAAGCGTATTTAACATAAATAATTCGTTTTAACACTTCGACAAACTTGCGGTGAAGAAATTTATCATTATTTATAGGTATTTATATTGGACAACAAAGAGAACAACAGTATATCGCTGCTGCCTGTCGTTTTTTGAGACAGACGTCGTCTCGCTTCTTCTTGCGCTTTCTTTCCCTGTATCTTTGTTCGTTCTTTTTTTTTTTTTTTTTTCTTATTCCTCGATTTATATTTCCTTTCAAGGGGTTCTTTTTTGATTTTGTTTTTTTTTTTCTCTTTTCCATTAGAGATGACAGAGATAGAGATTTTGCGGATCAGAGATACTTTGTACAGTGATGCCAAACAATGATGGTTGCTTTCATCGCTTTGCAGAATGCCAATTAGAATGATCGGATCGAATTCGACGACTTCGAGGGAACGAACGTATCCGCTGTATTTCCTTCCTCTTCGAGTCCCCAAGCTTGAGTTATCCGTGCGACGATATAATACGTATCTATAAAACGATATCGATCGATCGCACGCACCGCGCCGGCTGTGTACGCGTGTTTCGTTTCCACTTTGCGGCAAGAAATTCGCGAGAAATTCGCGTTCGTCCCGATCGGAGGAAGGGATCGGGATCGATGGATCAGCGGATAAATTCATTCCAATCCAATCGCGAATCCAATCGTTGGTTGATAATCGCGCGAACGTTATGAACATCATGAAATATATGTAGATGCAAGGCGAATTCGGTAAAATGGTAATTCATTTTTAAGTAATGATGATATCGATGATATTTGATATAAAACGCATGCTAAATTAGAAGAAGTTTTAATCGTTCAAGCAGACAAAGTAGTGCTCTTTCACCGTAACCAAATAAAAATAATAAAAAAAAAATATATATATATATATATATATAAAATATGTATATATATGTATATATATATATATATATATATATATGATATATTCATTCCTTCTAATTAATAATGATTTTGTTGTTAGTGTTTGATATAACTGCACAAGTCCTATTTTTTTTCTCCTTTTTTTTTTATTTTTTTTTTTTTGTTTTTTGTTTTTTTTCCTCTTATTAGAGCGAACCGCTACTACACCGCAGACAATTGCGGGCCACGATGTATGTATCGATCGAACGTGATGTATCGAATCGATAGAAATAATATAAATGGAACGTAGCATAGAAAAGTTGCCCTTTTTTTTTTCTTTTTCTAATTTTTTTTTTTTTTTTTTGTGAAAAATCAAAAGAAATCAAGCTCGTTCAAGTCAACCCCCGGACTTGAAATCGGGAATCGGACAATTCGTAGCATCGTATCGTTCGTCGTAAATCATCAAGACGCGAGAAACGCGCAAGCGAACAAGTGTGTGTGTGCACATATATATATATACATGTATATATATATATATATATATATATACACACACAGGGGGAGAGGGGCGGGGGTTGTGTTCCAACTCGTGTTCCAACTCGAGTTCCTCGATCTCGTTGATTCTAATGATTTTGCATACATACACAGGGCAGAGCCAGGTAATAGAGGAGTAAGTAAGTAAGTAAGTAAGTGAGTAAGGCTTAATTCTTACCTTGCGAAGTTCCTGCCAAGTCCGGTGGTTGCAACCCGTGCCCCATTCCTGGAAATTTCACTATCGTCACACGTAGCAACGAACGTTCTCTCGCGACAACGATCGGACAACGGCCTGTACGCAACATCGCAATTAAAATTAAAAACTCCGCTTCACTGAACAACCTTAACGAAACTCGGACAGAAAGAAAGAAAGAAAGGGAGAGAGGAAGAGGCGCAGAGAGAGAGAGAGAGAGAGAGAGAAGGAGGAAGGAGCGAGGAAGGAAGGTTCGATCGAGCAACGCGAGCGATAACGATGCAAAAGAAGAAAAGAAGAAGATGGGCGTGCTGTCGTCAATCGATCGTTCGCAAAATCGGTCAATCAAAAAATTGGTCAATGCGTACAGGCCTGTGCGCCGGGCGGGAATTCGTCCACGTACCTGACAACGGTGTATGCTCGGTGGCCAACGCCGCCATACTGAAATTAAAGCTCCCCGGCGTGGGCGGGAAGATTTTCGTCTCGGACAAAAAATTGGGGGTGGACGTGTGCTCGGACTCGGCCTCGTGCTCGTTGCTGCTCGCCGACGCGGGCGGCCGGTCGGACGCCGCCGCCCCTGAATCGGACGAGTCCTCGTTGTTGCCTGCGGCGTTACCGCTGTTACCACCTGTCAGCTCCAACGGCTCGCACTTGATATTGTCCTCGAGGGGGCTGTTCTCCTCGTGGACCCCGTTCCCCTCCACCTTGCTCGACACGTGGTTGTTCTTCACGCCCATCGAGAAATCGGTGGGCGTCGCGTCGTTGTTGTTGAGCGGTGGCGAGAGCACCCTCGGCTTCTTCGCCGTCTCATCGTGGGGATCGGGCGTTCGTCTCTCGTTCCTGCGTATCTGCGCTCTGCGCAACAATTGCTGCACGGTGGTCGGCGTAGGGGTGACCGGCGTGGGTGGTGAACCACCCCTGGGAAAGCTCTCCTCCAATTTCTCGTGGAAGGAAGGTGATTGCCACCGGCGGCCAACGCGCGCACGTGGGACAGCTGTAACGTGAACACGGACGAGGGAAGAAAAAAACGAGAGAGAGAGAGAGAGAGAGAGAGAGAGGAGGGGGAGGGGAGAGTG